ATAACTTAATATATATAACTTATATATAATTTAAATATATATATACATAACTTACCAGGCACTGGTGGCCGTGGAGAGTTTTCATTGAAGCAATGTGCTTCGTTCTGTCGAGATCCACTCATCCTATCTATTATGGCCTTCACGTATTATTTTGCGCTCTATATTTAATTTAGGCCCACAATGCCTCTTAGTAGACATGGTTAATCCAAACCTAAGACAAAAATAATAACTTTTTATATATACTATTATAAATTTAAATATATATATATGTATTTATTTTTAAACATTCAATAAGAATAAAATTTTCAAATATATTTATTAATATATTACTATTTTTTATAAAATAGTAAAAAAAACTATTAAAAAAATCTGTTGAAATCAAATTTATATGTAATTTTTATATCTTAACTTTGATATAATTCATATCAAATATGGGATATTTGGATATATAATAATATAATATGGGAAAACATATTTTTAATTCAGAATACTCGAATACAAAAGCCCCAAGCTAGGGATGCTGGATCGATCGAGCCCTGTGGTGAGTCATGTACCAATTAAGCACCTAAGGATGGTTTTCCTATCCCGAAGAACTCTAAGGGCGGAGCCTGACAGAAAAACTGTAGGGTAGCTCCTGGCAGTCTGCGCATTGAAAGATGCTTCTCTATATATCCCTATTGGTCCGCGCAGAACATTTGTGTGGTATTGATCGACAAAAATTATAACGCAATCCATTGAACACTACAGTCAACCCCAAATCCAGCTCAGTTTCCAAAATAAAATTCACAGGAGAATAGAATTTTATTTTGACAGGATGGATAGATATTAATAGTTCCATAGAATAGGGTATCCTATACAAAGAAAAGACTATTATATCCCTAAGATTTAGTCTTTTGTTATGATGAGCTATAGAAATATGATTTCATAAGCCTCCTATTATAAGTACATCTGTACCATATTCATATTTACATGGACAGCAAAATATAATATTATTAATTAATGATAATAATAATATTATTTAATAATAATAATTATTGTCCATTTAATATCTAATACCAAAATAATATCATTATAAATATGCATTGAATTTTGTTATTATTTTTAAATTATTTACTTTAAAAATATCAATCTAAATTTAACAATTTAAATTCCAAATCTAATTAATTTAAATTTGAATCATTCAAAATAAAAATAAAAATTAGGTAATATTTGCTTACTATATTTAAGATAAAAATTGAAATATATTATGTAAAAATATATGTAATAGATATAAATAAATTTTTGATATACATAAAAATTCTATATATACAACCATAGAAACTTGATCTCTACCTGGATAAGAGGGAAAATATGAAATGAAAAGCTGTCATAATGAATCATCTCACTTCAGTGCACATTTACCTGTATTAAAGGATGAAAAGAAATGTACATACCATTTTGCTGGTGCTTTTTAGGAATGACCTTGGAAACTCTATAGCTTTACAAAATCTATTATAATTTGTACAATTATATTGACCTCTAGCACAAGTATCTTCTAACTTCTTTTGTTATAGAACAGAATGAACATACGATACCACTGTTGACGCGTCTCTAGGCAAACTGAGCTAAGGCTGCGTCCTGACCAGGACTGACGCTACAGTCAGGACGGGTGGAGTAGGGATATAATGTCTGATCTTGTCAGAATGAGAACCGTACAATTCTGATATTTCTATTCTAAATAAAAATATAAAAAATTCTAATCAAAAAGTCATATTAGTTATATTAAAAATCTATTATTTTTGAATAGATTTGAATTTTTAAAAGATTTATTTTAAAATAATATAAATTTTTTATCTATGTGTATATATTTTTCTTTTTAATAATTGATTTTCATAAATTATTAAACATAGGAAAATATAATATCAATTTGATAATTTACATTTGTTTTTAAATAATATATTATATTATTAAACCATAAAAAATTTTCAAAATTTTTTTCTTAAATTCCATAAATTAAATTTTATATATTTATAAAAATTAAAAATAAAAATTACTAACAATAATATATAATATACTAAATTTATTATTTGAAAAAAAGAATGTTATTTACCTGAAAATTTTGAATTGTATAATAATTAAATAATTCATTTTTTAAATATAAATGAATTAAAAAATCATAATATAAAATATAAACGTTATTTTTTTTTATATAATAATTATATAAAAATGATATTATCTTAAAAAGAAATTTCAAAAGTTTTAAATTTTATTTATATATTTTAAAATCAAATAAATAAAATCACTATTTAAAAAACATAATAAATTAATACAAAATTTCATAAAAAAGGAAAATATAGCGCTTCAACCACCTGTAACCACAGACACTGCTTCAGTAAACCGTTATGATTTTATTTACAACTTTGTTCTTTTCATGCTAACAGATGGCACTAAATTCAATTTATCATAATACGTTATAATTATATTGTTTTTAATAATTTTTTTTATATATATTTAATAAGACAAATAAATTAAATTTTAAATATTAAATGTTTAAACATTTATATTATACATATATATATATAATATTTTAAAAATATAATTTTATTTAAAGAAAAAAAAAAGAAAAGGAATTAATATTTAAAATTTAAAACTTTAAAATATTTTTTTTTAATTTCAAAATTTTATTAATAAATAATAACCGAGCAATGATTGAAAATATTCATCGACTGATTTTTATTTTAAAATTTTCTATTTAAAATTTATTTTAAAATTCTTTTTAATATTAATATTTTGACAAATCTTTAAAAATTATCTCCTTATCTCTAGATTTTTTTATTATTTATAAGAATATCAATTTAATACATATATATTATAAATCTAAATATTTTCAGATTGTCTTTGGAATTATTACTAATATTTAATAATGTTCATTATAAGATTTGTAATAAAGTAATTTAATAAAAATTATTCTATTATTAGAAAAAAAAATGTAAAATATTAAAAAAATTTTTGAGAATTTAATATTTTCATTAATGTTATAATTATGCAATTTTAAAAATGTTAAATTTAAAATGAGACTTCATTGTCAATGTGACGAATTCTACAAGATAAACTTCAAAGTCCAACCTTTTAAAAAGAAGTACTTCTTCGTTAATCACTACGAATATTTGAAATATAAATTCAAGGATGATTCATCATTCAATGTAGATACTTCATTAAAAATCTTCAATTTAAATAATGACCAAAGTGTGAGAATAATCATTTCAACCTTATACACATTTCCCTAATATCTTCTTCATTTTCTACTTGCTTAATGATGTCCGTCGTTATAATTATTCGAAGTACAGCACTGTGAGATATAATTATATGTCGAAAGAAATGCGTCACGTGCATGAAAAATTATTAGGATTGTTGCCTATAATGATTAGAAATTTTTAAGCGCAGTAAAAAGGTTCGCTGATTTTAATTTTGAATAAATCACCCTTTGACTTTTCAATACTTTTCAAATATCAAGACTATTATTTTAATAGATATAAAAATTTTAGCTTTTGAAATGTATAAACTATTTATTTGATTTCTCTTATTCTAAAAATTATATTAATATTTAATTATATGTTACTTTTTAATTATATAACATAATTTGAAAATAAATAAATTATATAATAATGATAATAATGAAATATTATTTTTAACATTAATTACATAAACAAAATTAATTAAAACTCGCAATATTATTATATATATATAATGAATTGAATTTTCTATAGGTGAAAACCATAATTTAGAGAATATAAAAAAGCCATCTGGACACGATAGGAACAAGATTCATCTCCAAGTGACACGGTATGTGCTCTTTTCGCTTGGTCGGTAAATACTAGGATCGGTGTTACCCTGCATACCGAACGGCTTGATATCGACGAATAAAAATGCCGTGAATCTATAGAAGGGTATTCGTAGATATTGAAATTTTCTCGAGCGTACAAAAATGTATCAACCATATGGAATTTAAATCCTGTTTCCCACTCACATTGCATTTTATTCGTTCGAAAATATTTCTCGGTTTTCTCGAGAATGTTGAAATATTAAAACTTACAATACTATGATTTTTGCAACGCTATTTCAATGATCTTATTCCATTTTTATATTTTTCTTTCTGATATATTTAATATAAGTTACAAATATTATTATTCTGAGCAAATGATTTATTTATTGTTATTGCTGTAAAGTAATATATTTTTAATAGAAAATTCTATTAATATTGTTTAATATCAATGTTGTTGTTGTTGTTGTTGTCATTGTTATTATTATTATTATCAAATGTAAATGTAATTGCCATGTAAATTTTAATTGCAAAATAGTTTATTTTATTTACAAATATTTATATGATTTTATTTAAAAATACCAAAATATATTTAATTTTCTAAATACAATAAATGCAATAATAATAAAATCCAATATATTTTTATATGACTATTAATTATCAATTTTTTAAGCCATATCATTAAATATGCGCATATCAAATCCAAATACATTGTATTGCATGTTTCTTATGCAGTTATTGCATGTATATACTTTAAACTTTTATCCAATTCTATATATCAGGTGTTTCAAATTATTTTATCTTTATTAAAATTAATTTATATTTTGTATTAAATTTTTTTTATTGCTTTATATTAAATTTAACATCATATTTAAAAAAAACCTTATATATTAAAGCAATTAAAAAAGTATTATAAAATTCTAATTAAATAATTATATTAAATATCAATTGCAATGACGAATAGAAGGCAAAGGAAGATAATTTTCAAAAAGTTTTTCTCGAACGTAATTAGCATTTCCCAAAGGCGCTAATATTTATCTTTTACAATGAAAAAAGATTGAAGAAATGACAAGTATTTCGAAGTCACCGGTTAGATGACGAGGCGAGGGAAGGGCCCTAGCTCTCAAAGAGCGTGGTTCGCCGAGCGAGGCGTTCCGAAAACCTGTAATTACGGACCCGACGTACATCAAGCGGTGCCGCCAGCCGCCAGCCACCAGCCACCAGCCGGCGAGGTCTGTGTCTTCCATCTCCCTTTTTGCCTTTTTCTCTTCTTCATCGCTTTCCTCGTCTTCCCTCTGCCTTTACCTGTACCGTCCTGTTCGTACTTCTTTCTTTCTTTCTAACCTCTTCATCCTTCTCTGGTGCACGTTTACTCGTTCGTTCTTCCGTTTTCTTTTCTCTTTTGTCTTCTCTTTCGTTCTTTCTGTCCACTTTGAGCGGCCTCCCGCTTCGACTCCGACAGCGGTCCACCTTATTTGACCCTTTCCCCCTATACGCATCCAAAGGACTCTCCGATTCCTCTTTTATTTTATCCTCTTACTTTACTTACTCTCAGTTTCTTTCTTTCCTCTCCAGCATTTCTTTTTCGTCTCTTTCTTTTTATCCGTTTCTCCTACCCCTTTCTCTTCTTTTTCACATCTTAGATTGCTCTGTCGGCAATCGCGGCTTGCTACTTGGAATTGTCCGAAAAACAGATTACAACAGAAAGAAAGAACGAGTAGGAAGGGAGAAGAAACGATGAGCAACATTTCTCATTCTTCTTCGTTTCTTTGTTTTCTTTCATTTTTCTTTTTGAATTTTTTTTTTGGCTTTCGTTATCTTTGATTTCATTACGACATAACGTTTGTATATCGAAATTTATCCAGTTTTCTCTGTATCCTTCTATACATTCTATCTCTTTTGCTAAATTTTTCATACTCCGTTGATAACGTTTCTAACATCGATGAAAATAAATGTTTGTACTAATATTTTACTTCGATCATTTTTTATGCAAAAACATGTTTATACATTTTAGAAATACATTTTTTTGAAAGATATTAGCGTAGTTTAATAAGATACTGACAAATTGAAATGATTTGCCGGAAACCAGAAATGTAAAGAAATCTCAGTACGGCACTGGGCAATCCGAAGCTTCTCAAACGAGAAAAGCACACACGACGCCCATTCAGCTAACCCTTTCAGGCTCTCTCTCACCCTTCCGGTACCTGTAAGTTTTCTACCAACCCACCCATCACGTCATCCTCCTCATGCGTCACCTTCTTCCTCTTTCTTGCACCTTTAGGTTTCTAGCTGTGCTTCGACCTCCGGTAAAAATCTCTTTTACGCGCCCAACCGAGGAACTCTGTCTCAGACGATTCTATGCTTTTCTTACGACCACCATTTAAATTTCCACATGGCTTTACAGAGTATAATTCGAATTTTTTATCTTTCTCGACATTTTCGTTCGCCCTTCTTTTCGTCGACCTTCGTTTTTTCCACACAGCAGTTACGAAACTTTCGTTAATACGACCGCGAAAAAATTTGATTCTTTCTCTCTTTCTCTTTCTCCTTTCTTTAAAGAATTTTAAACTTTTGGAAAAATTGAGTTTGAAGAAATAGATTAGATCGAAAACGTATCGGCTTTGTATATTTTCCATTATGAGACTATAAATCTAAATGTTACGAATTACACATAATTACATTTCACTTTTCTTTTCTTTTATTAAACTATTTTTAAATAAATTCAAACATAAATGAGAAGCAAATTTATATTTATGAATCGTATACTTATAATTAAAAATGAAATATACTAGAAATCATTTTTGTTTCATTAACTCTTTTATCTCTTATTTAACAAATATAAAAATTTGTTTATAATTATTCTATAGTTATAAAAAATATTTAATTGTAAATATTAACAGATATGAATATTTTTTTTAACTGTAAATTGTAGTGAAAATCTAAGAAACAAAAAAATAAATATCTTATTATGTTTACTTTCTAAAATCATAGAAGAATTACCACTTTACCCTCGTGTTGATTCGTTAATTTTTTGCCTTTGTAAATTAAGAAAAATCAGAAATTAATTTGGAAAATTGTCATTACGACTAAATAAAACTTTCATTAGAAATATCTGTCAAAGTATTTTGAAATCCATGCATCTGTTATATGTTTCGAACAAAATCAATTATATTCAAAGAGAAAACGTAAAGGATATACTTATTTGCAATTTTTGCGGGAAATATTTTACTTTTCTAAATGAAAACTTTTATTTTTTAAATAATTGAAATAATGATGAAATGAAAAAAAAAGGAAATAAAAAATTCAATAAAAGTAATATTTTTAATGAAGTTTGTCTATTAATCTATTATATGATCGACATCAATATACAAGAATCAAACGTCAATAAGATCGATATATCAGAGTTTCTCAGTAATCAATATTCAATAAAAAAGTGAAATCTACTTATCAACAGTATTTCAAATAAATTTTTACGACATGAAAAAAAATATTGATCAGTTTTTATCTCGTTTATTTCTTGAATTCATTTTGATTTCTTTTGAAGCTAGAAAAAAAATTATTCGTATAATCCAAGCTTAAATTACGCAATGTTCCAAAAGCAAATGGCAAAATATGTTATGATAACTATACCATATATACTCTTTTAGAGGTGTTAGAAATGATGTATCTAAGTATTGAGTGTCCATCATCACGATTATGGATTATCAATTAAATAATAAAAGCAATGTTATCAATGTTGAAACGGAAATGATCCCGATCAGGCCATAAACATGGCTTCTAAAGTCTTTTGAAGTACCGACAAGGATTTGTTAGTGAAAGACCGAGCGGAAACGGTCAAAGGCGTGTCACCGTTATCGCCAGATGACTTTATGTAGTGGTATTATGCCTCGCGAGCTGCGAATCTTTCAAAGAAACTTCTAAGGGACCGCTCGGCCGGCAGCTACATCGACCGTCGGTCGTCGACCGTCACGATCGCTGCGACTGTCGACCGCCGACCCTCGACCATCGACTTAGGAGAATGTTCACTGACGTGTCAAGATTCCTCGTCGCCCCGCCTTTCTCTTCTCAATTCCGATTGACCTTCATTCGTTGCCCCTTCTCCTCCCACTCTTCACAATTAAGTATATGCTTTAGATTATTCCGACCAGACAGATTATTTCAAGATCAAAGATAAAAGAAAACATTTTCATTAGCATTAATTAAAGTATTCTGTTGCGAATGTTATATTTTGAATATTTATTATTATTTATAATTATTATTTAAAGTGTATATATTTGAAATGTGGGATATTTTTGATTTGTATAAGAAAAATCGATGATGTTTTGTTAATAATTTTAAAATTATAAAGATAAATTTCATTTCTTGAAATAAAAGTAGTTATATATTTAAAAAGAAAAAAAAATTAATCGATTTTAATTGCTAATTTAAAAAATAAGTTAATATTAAATTTTAAAATAAATTTAATAAAAAATATAGATTTTTTTTGTATAGTATTTAATTCTTTTATGTTCTTATTTTGAATAATATAATAATATTTAAAAAAATAAAGTTTAATATATCAAAATGAAATGCGCATCTTTTTTAGCGCCTTTTATTGCCAACTCTACAAGACTATTCTAAAATACCTCATTCTCGTAGTGATACATCGATATATTTTCTTCATCGGAATTTCATCTTCTTTATATTCACTTATCTTGTACATTTTATATGTTTTTGAGGCAACCACTTGTTTGTGTCATTTCAAAAGTTCACGTGTTACATGTAAACATCTCTTGTGCAAACTGTCCATAATTATAGATAAACTCAATACCTTAATAAATTGTTCGTGCAGAAATCATACTGAAACGTCACACACAATTTCAGATTCGAAAGTTTCCTTTTTATGTAAAGTATATGTGGTAGAATAACAGAGAAAAATCACAATTGTAGTTCATATACAAAATAATTGATGTAATTGAATAGGAACTATAATTTTGAAATAATTACACTGTATACAAGAAATTTTGTACAGTATTGATGCAATCATTCAGGTAAAAATATTTGATTCTCTTAATCATATTTTTGATAATTCGTGTTAATGTATTTATGCACTCTTCTTGTTGTTTATTTTTACACATTTCATCAATTAAATAAAATAGCACATAGAAATAACTTGTCATTTTTATTTAAAACAAGAATATATTTCATCTTCATGAAAATTAAGCTCTGGTTCACAATGCAATCACGAAATCACCATTCACAAATAAGGAATTGAATTTTGATTATAACTATAGTTAGATTATAATCAAGTGAAGAATCCACAAAGCTTTTGTTGGATAAAGCATTCATAAGAATCGGGCTTGTGTTTCCAAAACATTTTCATCTGTACAAAACCCATAAAACGTTCCACGCATGGCTCTCGCGAAATATCGAGTTTATGTTTTGAAACAGGTTCATAAACCATGTCTGTGTTGACATCATTAAAATTACTAACTGCTTCACATTTTGTTCTATGTATACAAATCACTAAATAAATATATCATCACTTAAAGAGAATAATATAATTTTCACGGATATATATATTATTTTTATAAACGATAAAAATAATTCGATACAATTAAAATTATAATATTTTTTTTATTGTAGAATTCTTACACATATGAGACAAATTCTATGAAAATTATAGGGAATTTCACTGGCTTGTAAAATGTTGGCGAAACAAATATTTAAACGCACACTTAGATTATATATCGATAAAAAATACCACTGATCAAACAAACGTATATTTTCTGATTGCCGGCTTGAAACTTTATTTCATGAAATCTTTTCGTTTATACCGAATCAACGAAACGAGCATAAAAATAGGGGCTGAAGGAACGGTTCGGTTGAATGTGAATACGACAAAGGATGCCGAGGAAGACCTATGCCCCATACAACGTACACGGTAAGACTGAAACTACACAGTGACCGTAGAGCCAAGGGAGAGCGAGCATTATCTCTCTCCCTTGGCCTTCTTTCTCACTCTTACACCATCTTTCTTCGTCTTCTTTTCTTCTTGCTCTGCCACACCTCCCTTATGGCTACAACTGCTTCCCTCTTTCTTTCTCTTTCTTTTACAAAGTTTCCCTTCCCCGTCTTCCCCTGCTGGTTCGACCATGGTGGACGTAGGACAAAAAAGTGGTAGGGTCCAGGTATAAGGGCAAATTCTGAGTTATATATACGTACCTATCCATACTTTAAAACTTGCATGAAAATACGAAGGTTTTCATAAATTTGAACAAGTAGTTAGCTTTAATGATGAGATCAAAGTATTTTTAAATTGTTAAATTTGTACGATGAAATAAAGTTATATTTTCAGATTAAAGAAGTTTATATTATTGTTGTATAAAATACTGGTACTAATGTGATATTCTACTAACTGAATTATTTATAATTTTATGTTTTTAATTTTCATTATTAATTATTATTGAGAAAATATTTCTATAACTTCTATTATATTTCTATTTTATATTTTTATATTTCATATAAATATTTATAGTATTATATTATTGTAAATTTAAAACTAAATAAAATAAAGAATTATTAATTTTTGATACTATAAATATACTATTAAAATCCAATTGCTAAATAATCGCTATTATAAATATTGTTTGATTAAAAAAAATTAACATTATTACATTAAAAATACATATCAATAATTTAACGCCATCTATCGTTATTGAGTTTTACTATCATTGACGCCATAATCTTTTTTTCTGTCTTTCACACATATTTACATTGTGATTACAAATATAATTAGAGATAAAAAATAAATTATAATTAGTAAAAAAGTAATTAAATGAATAATATTAATAAAATATATTAATAGAAATAAATGAAATGAATATTCGCTTAAGAATTAAATAAATAAAGTGGTTACTTAAATGTGTAAAGAATGGAAAAGCATAAGTAAAATCGTTTATCGTCAACCGTTGTCTAACACAGACGATCTCTTTAACTTCGTGTTCAATGAAATTCGATTGAAGTCGTTGCCAAACAACTACTTCCCTCCAGGTAAATTACAAGCCGACGCACTGATTTATCTTATCCAACTGCTTTAACCACAAATTTGTCGTGACGTTCTACGTAATTCTATCCAATATGCAATGTCAACTATTTTTCCATTTCTTTTTTTTCTGATAGAATATTTTCCAACATTGTTGATGAAATATTTAATTTCCTTTACTTCTGTCTTTTATTTTATTTCATAATTTTAATAAAATGGTTTTAATAAAATTATATTAATAATAGTTTTAATAAATTTATAATAAAAAATAAAAAGAATACATTTCATAAAATATCTTTCAAGATTTTCTTATGTTCCAAAATTCACCTTTGTATACGCATTATTCTAATATATTTAAATTAATTAATGTATTTAAATTAGAAACAATTATAAATTTTACCATATAGTTAATGGAAATAAAATTATCGACGATAACCGAAAAAAGAACGAAGAATTGACGAGGGAAGAAGAAAAAAAATAGAAACAGAAGGAAAGCGACGAGAAACGGTCTACCGAGCCGCCGAAGAGAGAAAGAGAGAGATGGATTACGAAAAGACCATTTGCGAGCAAAAGTGAGGAACTATATAGTAACGCATTGGTACTACTTGCACAAGGCAGAGCGAGAAAGACGAAGCGACGGTGTGGCGGAACAAGTGAGAAAGAAGAGAATGAGTGTGTGAAAGTGAGAGATAGAAAGATAGAACGAACGGCGCGCAGCAGTGGGGAAGAAGAGGGAGAATTACGATGAGAGGGTATAAGAGAAGGAGAATCTCCGTTTGATCTTGCCGCCGCACGCGATCCCACACACATATATGCGCATGTTCTGGCCTCTCAATATGGATTCGCATGAATGCACCAACACATCGCGCCAGTTAAAATCTCTCTTCTCTCTCACCTTGCCACACAGTCCTGGGTGCTTCGATCGACAGTGCACAGCCAGGGTACTCTGTTGCTCTTGGATGTGTATAATAAACACCGTGCGAGCCAACTCAGCCGAGTCGCCTATAATTTCTCGCGGAAAATTATATGTTAATGCGCCCTTAATGGCGTCGTTCGTTAACGGGATCGTTGTACAGGCCCAAGGGATAGAACCGTGCCGAGAGCGCAATTCGATTCGCTCGAGCATGCCGCGAGCAGCGCGCGAGTCGTCATTCAACAACTTCGCGGTCATAGTTCTTGTATTGCCTTTTCTTCTTGAATACATATATATATATATATATATTTATATATATATATGTATATATTTATAGAGAGTGTGTTTGTACACGCTTCTTAGAAAAATCTCGGCGAATATCTTTAAAGCTGATATTATAATTTAGCGCGCGTATGCGCGCGCATCGATTCAAGATGTGTTTATAAATGCTCTTTATATATGGTGCATTATTCAATGATTGTATTTCTGGCTTTAGATGGAAAAACAATTTTTTTTTTATATTATAACATAATATTTTATATTGCCGTTGCAGATTTTACAGGTAAGTTAAACTCTTTGAACAAGAATCATGATTGCTTTAGAAATAATTTCTTTTAGAAACTTTGCTATATTTTTACGTATATATTTAATGTTTTAAATGAATTTTAAATACTTTTCATCGAATTAACCTAAAAGATCAGTACGGATTACATGAAATTGCCACATAGCGTATTAATTGTTCAAATTTCTATTTGATGAATAGGAGACCAATAGTTTTGATTACTTCACATGGTGTAAATAAATTAATTTAATTTTTTCAAGATGCAAAAAATAATAATATATAATATATTAAACTTTATAGAATTGAATATTCTAAATTGAAAAAAATTACAAAGAAAATATAGATGCAGTACTGATTCTTAATAGATTAAATTCCAAATCTCTTATCATAAATTTAATGGATATTTTAGAATGGAATTTAATAGAAATTTATAGAACATAATGTTCTGATAACATATTTCAAGCACAAAATACATTGCTCCATCGTTTTAAGGTGTCATATCCCTTTGACCATTTTAATGTGACAGTATGTATCAGTAATAATTATGGATGACACGGAAGCTAGAAGATTAATCGAATCCATATCACAAAAAATCGTTATATCTTGCATGAATCGGGAAGCGATCGAAATATTCACATGATCGAAACGAACAATTACACGAAGTATCAGTACATATCGCGATAAGAGGATAAAAAGACGATAGAACGGTCTTTCTTCCCGAAGGTAGTAATACTCATGACTGTTTGATCGACCTCTTCGGACGGGGAAAAGAATTTCCCGTGGGTCCATGGTAGTGGAACAAAGTCCTCAAAGAATAAAGATCGCCCAGCTAAAAACGTGGCAAGAGAAGTGGCGCCTTTGACCCTCATTGTCTGCGCTCTTTGCCCGTCGCATGCACGGCCTAAAGGACTCTGTTTATCTTTTTCGCTTTCTTCTCTTCCCCTTCGTCTCATTCGCGACAATACATACATACTCTCTTCCCCTCTTCGCGCCCTCAGCAAGCTCCTATACGTAACTACACACCACGGAACCCTGTCCTTTTTCGAACGATTTTTCCTATCAATCTTGTACGTGTAATTCAATTTTCTCAAATCGATATTGAATGATTAAATCTTTTGAACATATCAAAGGGAATACTGTATCGACATACGAATGTGAAAATATTTATCTTTTGTAGTATAATTAAAAATTAGGAGAAATTTAAAACAAACAATTTAAAAAATAATTAGATTCTTTTATCACCAAGATGGAATTTTGAAATTTCTGACATCAGAAATATATAGAAATACTACTATTAAATTTAATTCATATCTAAAACTATCTTATGAATAATTTTAAATTGTTCATTTCTTTACATAATGTCGATTTATATCTAAAAAAAAAAAAAAATAGCAATATTTACTTTATAAATAAATTTTTGTTTATCTGATTTTCTATTTATATTACTATATTTTTAGTCTTCATAACTAATAAACACAATAGATTTTTTGATTGTTTTTCTATATTTTGAAAAAGTTACATTTAATCAATTATACTATACCGGGTTTTATTTCTATTTATAATATTTATTTTTCAAAAGTGAAATAGTAACGTAATTTAAATTTTATTATATTTTTATAATTCAATTATTGATCAATCGTAAACTAACAATAGGGCTACTTGAAACTTTCAAATTTAAAAAAATTCGCAAATTGTCACAACAACAATCGTATAATAAGAAACCAAGTTTGAAAACTCGACTTCCATGAAAGAAACGCCCTAATTATATCTCGTGGAAAAATAGGTACCGAGCAATTACGTGTTTTCATTGTTTCTTTTTTTTTTTTTTCTTAGGCCCAGTCTGCTCGTTAGTCGATACTCGTGGTTACCGATAGACTAACGAAACCTCGAATAACTGAATCAGACGATTCGCTTCTTATATAAAAGGTCTGTCTCATTCACCGGCTTATATCTCGCGTCATCGTTACACGATATACAATTGCATGTAGATATATTCTTGTTTTAGTGTACTTGAGTCGTGATAGCACCGTATGCGACCGATGTATCACTGATGATACACTGAAAACCAGGTATAGTACCCACTTGGTCGCACGAGAAAGAGGATTGACACACAAATTGAAATAAACGAACCGACGACACCGAGAAACTGAATGATAAAATGGTGATGGGTGAAAGAATGAGAGCACAAGAACGAGAGAGAGTGTGGAAGGGGGCACAAACAGTGAGAACAGTGCTACAGACAATAGAGACAATTATTGCACACAGACGGAGGAGATGATGGATCAAACGCGGTACCATTTCGGCGCCCCTTTATCTTCTTTCACTTATCTTTTCTTCTCTTCTCTTTTCCTACCATCCCTTTACCACTACCTCTACCTATAACTACCCCTAGTGAGCGCTTTTCTATCCCCCCCTCCCCCTCTTATCGTAACACGTTTCGTGTTTATTTCACTTTTTAACCTGTTTAACTTTGATAACAGGCGCACGAAATTCAACGATTCAACATCGCGCATTCAATCATTCGTTTTACTATTAACGTACGCAAAATAAGATAATTTTATGTTACAAACCTTTCATTTAATGAAATATCGCAGATTTCTATAAGATACTTTATAGAAATGTTTTAATATGTATAAAGTGAACAGCGAATGTTGAACACATCGCATGGCTTTCAAAGTGATCCGAAACGTAAATGTTGATAATGTAAATCTCTCTGTTCTTTGCTTTGTAAAATTAAACAAGAATAAATTTGAAAAATAAAAAAAGATTCAAATCCAAATATGCAAATATTCGTACAATTTTTTTCAACTTTTAATAGCAAAAATCATTTAGAAATATTCCATGGATTACAAAATAATCATATCATGAAAAAAATTTGCAAAAGAATAAAATTACTCTAAACGCGTCCCCCAATACGAATTTTCTTACCCAATTACACAACTATACACCCTACGTATAAAGGCAATATCATGAAATGGGATTACACGCATGAATGGTTCCTCGAGATCAAGCAGGAGACACTTCTCCAAGGATTACGATTCGCAAGATTGAAAGAGTTATTTCAGGTCATAGGGTTAAGTGAACTACCCTGTATAAAAGGGAGCAACGCATGAGCCCACCCTCTGTTGTCGTGGCGCGTACACACAGTTATGGGAATCCCCTAGCGTGAACCGAAGATCGGAAGAGTGGGCGGTACCCGGTTCGTGATCGTGCCGTTTGATACCACGTGCTCAGTGTGGTTAAAGCACAAGGGAACTTTACGTCCTCTCATTTTGATATCAAAGAGTTCTTCCCCATTCCGAGGATCTTTAAATCGATGTTCTTTGACTTTACGAAGCTTTCGCCGGTAACATCCTCCTCGTCGCCCTGGCTCCTTCATCTTCCTGTTATTCTTAACTCTTATTTTTGTATACTACTCTCCTTTGCGTGCGCTGGAAAGTGACTGGTAAAAGCTTTCACTTTATTGCCGATAATTGCAGAAGAGGAAGAGGTCGTTGTTCAAAGAAGCTTGTTAGATGCAATAAACGAAAGGTCACGAAGACACGATCCCTTTTTTCCTTCTTTTTTATTTTCGTAGCCCAACCCCGATATTGGTTGTAGTGTACGATTATTAACATTTATACTCCCTTTCGATTCAATGAAATATTGTAATCGTATTAATAACGCCGGTACGATTGTTCTTCCTGTTCGAGCCAATACTTTCGTGATACGGAAGTGAATCATGTTATTAATATATCTGTACCTATCTGTATATAAAGTGAGTCATGAATATGATAGAGCAGCTATAAAAATTTTTAACCCACTTTTTATCATAAACTCTACTTGGAAATTTAAGCATGTATTTATGTAAAATAACAGGCATTATAAAGCTTATACGAGGGTTTTTTTAATAAACTTCTTTAATGCTGGATCTGATAAATCTGTGAAAATTATATATTAGACTAATTTTAAAAAATAATATTTTGTTTATTCTTATATTAATTTTGATTATAGTAACTCGATAAACCAATTATGCGCTATCGATTTCTTAAAGAATAGAATTGAATAAAAGTTTTAATCGAGTTCCTTAAAATAGATTAACCTCTTGCCTTATAATATCGAGTCACACTCATGGGGCGAACTATTCTATACAATGAAAGCAAATTGTATTTATAACATAATTGGTTTGTGAACCTTGACTTCTAATTTTTAAATTTCATCTAGGACTAATAAATAGTTATAAATATTTATCACGATATTTATCAGATTTATAATATTTTGAATGATAATTCTAAAATAATTTATATTTTTAAATATTCTAATATCTCTAGATTTAAATATGAAATATTAAATATAAATTAAAAAATATTTTAGTAATTTATATTTAATACATTAAAATGAAAAATAATTAATATTAATTTATAATATTTGAAATAATTATTATATAACTATTTTTAAAGTAACGAAACATTATTACTGAATGTAAGGATTGTGGCACAAAATAGCATTGTATAACGACTATATACCTGATGTGATTATAAATGCCTGCAAAGGTGTCGAAGCCATTAGAATTTAAAGATTCATATGTATCATGAATTACAAGTAGTTGGATGCAATTCCCTATTCTAATAGAAAAATACCGTTGGAAATGAAATAATACGAAGTAACAATGAAATGTTATTTTCGTGATACTGATATTTAAACAGGATAAATGCAAAATTAACTAAATTCTCATTTAAATTACATTTACAATTACATTTTTTCAATTCTCGTTATTTCGAAAGCATAAGTGGAAGCGAGAAAATAACTAGCATATACAATTTAACAATTTAATTTTAGTATATACAGCAATTTTATTCGTGAAAATTGAAAGAGTAAATTGTTTGATGTCTAAGTCTGACAATCTTTCAAAAAATTTTAATCAAAAGTTAAATGTAATTCGTTTGTTCAAAATAAAATGTTGTTCTTAAACCTTACTACACCCACTTTACTAAACACAAAATTGCTAAAAAAAGAAGTTAACTAAATCTAGAAACGTTAAGAAATCAACTAAAGCAAAAGTGTTTTCATTATTTTCAAATGAAAATAAAAATAAAGAATGTTAAAAAATAAAAAATTAAATCATTTTTTCTTTAGCGAAATCAAAATTATTGACATAAATCGTAGTTTTTTTTGATAAAAAATTTTTTGAAACTTCATTCTCGGATTACTATCTACTTTGGTACATATATAAACAAAAAATGATAAATTAAAAAAGAAACCAGAAGATTTAAAAAACCTATTATCACATCAAACAACAAATGATAAAGGAAAAAACCTAGCACCGTTAAAAAATCAAATATTAAATCAAAGCATTCCATTTAATTTCCACGAGATTAATGAAAAACGTAGAACAAACGTCCCAAACGACAATTCCATTTTTGAATGGCAAAAGAGTAAATTACCAGGTGCCTACCGTCTCTCTAACGGAGCTTCAAAAATATCCGAGAATCGTAGAAGCAAACCGTGGTTCCCTTGCGAGTAACAATGGGAACACAGGAGAACGGCCGAGTGAAAGAGGCCGAGGGAAAGATGACAATATTAAGAAAGCTTACAGAAACGTTCGCCGTAAAGGTTTATTGGCGTGAAGGAGTTGTGGAGCGTGTCTACATCAAAGGCGACCGCTTCTGAACTCTCTATTCCCTTTCTACTTGAACCCTCGCCGACATCTCGTCACCACCTCCACTTCTATCAACTACCACTGGCGTCCATTCGCTCTGCCAAGGTTGTGCACGCAACCAGACACTCACCCCCGAATGTGTACCCTAGGCACATTCACCACGTGCGAGTTCCTGCACCGTTGGTTATTAACATCCATTACCATCTCAAACGGGACGCATTGCGACGCACGATCGAATCTCCACATCGATTAGGAACCGGTTAACTGAACGTAAGAAATGGATATATTATTTTTCCATTTCCTCGTCCAACGTTTAATCGTTCGAATTCCTTTGTGTACACTCATTCACGCGTGTTCTTAATCTTTGAAAAGTCTAAAAGATGTTTTAAAACGATTGATGGATATGAAAATGAATGATAAAAACGAGAGATTAAAGGATAGTTATGATGAAACGCTAGAAGATTAATCCTTAACCGATTCACCTTTAGTGGAATTACAAGGTACATTAATAAAAAATTTAACTAAATATAGTATAATAAAATACTGCCTGTATTTTTCACTTGTTTTTTTTCTAGATTATTTTTCTATGCAGGAGATAAAATTTCATAATAATTTTCTAACATGAAAAAGATTATACGATAGCATTTAAATTTATTTAAAATGGTTGTTTATAAAATTATAGTATTCAAGCATCTAAATTCTATTCATGGAATATTCATTTTTTTAAAAAAGATATAATTTCAATGGAATTCTGTATTATTAAAAACATTAAATTCATATTTGAATTTATCAGTTGTTATTAGAAAACTCAACCTAATTGAAGATTATCGAGACACTTAGCATGATGTGATACTTGAGAACGAAATTATCATAATATTTATAATCTCTGAGATATTCTAGAACTCCACAGTAGCAGTTAAGGGTTAATCATTTTGGAGTACAAGGAAAATAAGAATTTATGGAAAAATGGAATTTATTTCTCTCTATATTCTATCTTGGAAATATACCGAAAACCGATACATAATTGACAATTTTGAGACTTAAATATTATTTCTAATATCAAATATATCTTGTTGAGATTCATACATGTATCTCATGATTGTAGCAATTGAGGTATTATCGGATAATGTTACATGTTACAATATGTTATAATTGAATTATTAGTATTTGGTTGTCAAGTCTAACATGTAATTACCTGTAATCCGTGCAATCTGTTCCACTTAGTCTTTAATTATCAGTGTTACCTAATTAATCAGATAATTAAAAGTTTAATCTCTATGCTCAAATATTACTTAATTATAAAAAAAAAATTGAACTGAATTTTATGAGAAATAAGAGATTTTAATCTCATTGTATTTTCATATCATATAACAGATAAACTCGATTAAGATAATTACTTTCAATTAAAAAATATACGACGATTAAATGCATAAGTAATATGATTTGCAATGGAAAACATTTTTGTTTAACAGAACTATATGTTCTTATTCGAGTACGGTATTGATACGATGCATTAATTTAATGAGCTAAATCATATATCGTGATTTACCTTTACTAACATTTCATGAACATCAGCCGATGAAATTTCCCACCGTTTTAATCATTCAACACTGATTCTCGACTGTTATATCATAAATAAAACCATCTCATAATGTATATTTTATTCGCTTAATCGATCTTAAAATTTTTCATAATAAAATCTAAATTATCTTGGAATCAACTAATAATCTCTCAAAAAGAAAGAGAAAAAAAATTAAATTTGACTTCACTGTCAATACCCTCTCCCCTCACCTAATCAGATCAAGCATCTTCCCAAACAATTTCTCAATGGGATTGTAACTGAGCCAGGAAGTAAGTAGTGTCTTAATTATTCGCCGCATTTATTGTGAACTGTCGTCAATTACGGAAAGAAGCCAGAATAATGGACGGGGAGCTTGGAGGAGAGGAGAGTAGAGAAGAGCGAGGGTGAGGGAAAGAAGAAGAAGGACTCACGACGACTACGATTCTATCGGTTTTTACTGAATTATTTATAAAATCACTGATTGATATTCACGATTATCAGGAGAGGAGCGCGCTCACACAACGTAAGCATATGTATTGTTTTGATAAAGAGGGCAGAGGAAGGAGTACGGGGAGAGCGCGCGTGTAGCGAAATCGTGTATATTACGAGAGACCCGCGGAGATGAGAGGACTCGCGCGCGGTGAGGTTTCAGGATGAAAAAGGAGCAGAGTAAAGAGGAAAAGAGAAAAAGGAAGAGAGGAAGAGAGAGAACGAAACGGACGTGGAACCGGAACGATCGCGGAGGCTCGAGGGAAAAAAGGTAGGGCACGAAGCGAGGAACGAAACTGCGACTGGCAGAAAAGCTGGTGGAACGACTCGAGAAGAAAACGCACGGTTGCGTTCGGTGGTAGGTACGTCAAGAAAGAGAGCTCGATTCGTGAATACACGCGCCCCGAGACGCGCAAAGCTCTCGTGGCTAGAGTGTAAGCAGAGTGAAAGAGAGCGGGAAAGAGAGGGAACAGGAGAGAGATGGATAGAGAAAGAGGGAGGGAGATAGTCGATTCCCGTGAAAGAAAAAGGTGAAGGAGGGAAAAAGAGATGGAACAGGGGGCAGAGAGATGAGGACGAGAAGGAGAGGTAAACGAAAGGAACAAAATGGAAAAAAATAAAAATCCGAGCAGAAAAGGGACGAGAAAGTGATCGGAGCGAATAAAACAGGATCCGGGGACGTAAACATTGCGGTGTATTTTGGAGCGGATGATGCTCGGTGTTACGCACGAGGAAATCGTTTGTGTTATTTTTTCGGTTTTCTTTTTTTTTCATGAGATTCTGCCTGTCGACGTTTCGACGACAGTTAAACATCGCGAGTTTTAATCTTCTAGTATACAAAACACGGTTGAGTTGATACACGCGCGATCCTGCGACAGGAAAAGACGATAGATAGAGAAAAAGAATGATACAGGCGAAAGAGAAGAAGTTAGCGGTAGATGAAAAAGAAAAGAAGCAGGAAAGAAGGCAAAGGAATAGAGAGAGAGAGAATGAAAGGCTGGAAAAAGAAGAGGAGAGAAAGCGAGCGAACCAGTGAGCGAGCGAGTGTGCAAACAAGAAAGACAAAGATAGGGAGAGGGATTTTAAGAAAGGAATCGGTGCTCTCGAAAAAGAAAAGACGATAGTGGACTTACTCGGTATATCCGACGGTGCTTGTATTTGCTAATGCCGTGATGACGATGCGTCTCTTCGGCGAGACCGATGTTCCATGCTCGAAAATGTCAACTATTGACGAAAAAATGGTACGGACTGAAACGCAGACACATCGTAGCTCTCTTTCTCGTCCTTACTTTCTCGCTCTTTCTTAGCGACGACGATGATTCGGCGTGAACTCTCGACACTTCGACACGACGCACACACGCACCACACTCACGACGAAATATATACACTGCGTCGATCCACCGTAATAATAAAAGCGACTTGACACGCAGAAGGCATGCAAAGTGTTTCCCGCTCGCATCGAATAAACAGAGATCACGGTGAATTCACGGGAAATCGGACACTATACAGCTAGGCATTTCGCGGCTCGTCTCTCAGGCACATCTTGGTCGCCATCGAGATCTAACACGAGTGCGCGGGACGCGCACTCTCGCGGTCCCTGCCTAAAGTTGCCCCTTCAAAGACCGGCCAATCAACGGGCCGCATGGCCTATGCCCTTGCCGCGAGCAGTCCTGTATCTAGTTGACGCGCCGTCATTCATTCATCTTTTAGAATTTTGTTTTTATGAAACTTTAGAAAAATAGACTATTCTTTTTTATTTTTATATTAAGGTAAGTAGTATTTTTATCATGAATATATCTTAGTGTTTAAAAATATTGATTATCAATTTGTTTTAGTGCTTTACGGCATTACTAATTAATGCTCTACCAAGAAACACATACACAGATGTGTGCTCACATATACTCAATGTATCATCGACAGTCGCGTATCTAATTAATTTATTGCCTTGTTCCAAAAATTTTTAAAAATATATGAAATAGATTTTTTTTCAGAAAATTGTAACTCTAAGTAAATCTTTTAATAATTTTTATATATATTATTTTATTGTAAAATTTATTATTATATATTTATACACATTTTTTAAATTATTTATAATTTAATATATTAATATATTTATATTATTTCAAAAATATTTTTTTTATTATAAAGATTGTATTCAATTAATAATTAATTTCATATAAAAATTGTATTCAATTAATAATTATAAATAATCCTTTTACGATCATTTAAAGATATTATATGATCATAATTAATATTATTACATAATTATGTAAATAATAAATTAAATAAAGAAAATATACTTAATTAAATTATATATTAATAAATTTATAAATGTATTATATTATAAATTAATTTTTTATATAAAATATATTATAATAAAATTTTAGATATAAAAATTCAGAAATAAATTTTTTATTATCAATATTAGATATTACATAGAAACACTTACTTAATAATAATGTAAATATTTAATATAATACAGATGATTATTTAACACAAATGAATACGCCATTTTTGTCTATACATAAAATTTGATTTTTTCTTTTATATTCTTATTAATATATTCGATAATTAAAACAATGAATTTATAGAAATATTTATTTATATAAATATTTATATTTTTTTCACTATTGAATATTACCTGTTAGTACTAAACGAAGATTAATATTAAATTTTCACTATTATGTAATATTTTAATTCTATTTCTTTATTTTTTAATATATTTTCACTATGTTTATTTGATTTTTCTTGATTATATTTGATTTTGATTGTATCTTAACAAGCAATATACGTTCAAATTTTTTCCTAATTTCCTTCTTTTAAAATGATGTTTTCTTCTATATGATATATCATGAATCGTTTATGAAAGAACGTTTCCGTTTAACTGTCACTTAATCTTATATTGATAAAATTATATATTTCGATTTTTAGCTTGATTCGGTTATTCGATATCATAAGATCTATACTGCTTTCCGGCCAGTTTTCAAGCTGTTCCGCATTAAGAAACGTGGCGCCAGTATCGCATATTTCAGTATACTCGAACACAACAATGTGGACGAGCAGCATGAAAAGAAAAGGTTTCTAGCGCGCGATGCAATCAACAAACGCTACACCGCACTCGAATCTAAATAAAACACGAAAAATTCAACAAGGATGAAGTTTAATTTAACTTCTTATTATATAATTCGGTAGCTATGAAATTTCATCGATACGTTTTGTGTTATACTATCTTTTCTCCCTTCTACTCACTCCGTGTTATCGATTGTTACGAACGCGCCGACTGATAATGCGTTAAATGTGCACTTCCTTTAATCTAAAATCATATATCCTTGCATCTACTTCCTGGAAAGAAACGAATATCACGATCAATTAGCATTATGTATACTCTGCAAAATTAATGAACAGTCGGAAACTTTGCAACATGAAGGTGAGATATTATAATAAATATATAAATATTTTCTACTAATTTATATTATTGAATATACATTTTGTTTCGTTAATATATATAATAGAATATATTGTTTTGTTTACAAAAGTTTACAAAATATATCTATGAAAGTAAGAAAATCTATATCTAGTAACAAATTAGACGTAATTTATTATCACAATATAATTATAATACTTATTATTATTTGAATAAATGTGAATTATAATGAAATATTTTATATTGAAATATTTTAAAATAATCTATAAGTTTTTTTCAAAAAGCTTTTATATCTTTTTCATTTTTTAAAACAAAAACGATATATTTAAATACTTATAATTGTAAAATATTATTTGTATTATTTGTAAAATTAAGTATTATTTTATATATTTTCTTTTTACATATATTTTTTATTAATTTTCATAGTATAAGTAAATATATAGTATATATATTTATCCTTTTTTAACAAAATATTCTAAATTTTTATAACATGGATAACCATTCTGTATGTATGCAATCTACCGCCTAATAAGATGCAACCAATTCATCAGGCATGATCAAATGGATAATCAAACATATTATTTTTAATGCTGCAATACAATATTAAATTTTTAACAATATTTATTTAAATTTCTATATTATAATTTTTATAATATCTTTTTTAATACTTTAAAATACTTATAAATTTTTATTATAATAATACAAAATAATAATTATAATATGTATTGTAAAAAATCAATATACTGACAATCTGACAAATTTTATAGTAAAATTTTTTATAGATTTGATAGATGCAAAAATATGTATTCTAACATATCATCATGGAAATAGAAGACTGAAAGTTTGATAATATAATGGAATCCAGGATGCCAGTAAAATACGACGATTCTTAAGTTCAGAATGGAAATTAGAAAAGGGCCTTGGTCGAAGAAAATTCTGGTTCCAGCCTGTTTTTTGGTAATTCTCATCTGGATTTTTCTAATCGACAATTCATTATTGCTTGCCGGTTTGTCTGGCAAAGTAACATTACAAAAACCCAGAAATTTCGTTCTTTCGCTCGTGATTCGAATTTGGACCGTTTAACGATCAAGGAATCCTCCCTGATAAATGATGTTGAATCCAAACACTCAAAACTATCGAAGCTTCATCTGGTGTCGCTTTGGGCAGGCAACAACACTGTTAAAGGAAACACAGGATCCATGCGAAAATATCAGATTTTGAAACAGCAAGGTTTAACGCCAAGTAAACAATTACCAACTGCTTTGATAATCGGTGTTAAAAAAGGTGGGACTAGAGCGTTGTTAGAATTTTTGAGATTGCATCCTGCTATTCGTGCTGCTGGATCTGAAGTACATTTTTTTGATCATCATTATATCAAAGGATTTCATTGGTATAGGTAGGTTTTTTTTTATCATACATCTTTATTCTCTCAGTTTTATGGATTGATTTCATTTCATTACCAATAATTTCATTAATATTTGAATTAATAATTTAACGATTACACAAAAATTATAAATAATATAATTAAACAAAAAAATTATCTTTTGGTAATATTATAGGCATAGGATGCCTCCAACCTTGGCCACTCAAATCACAATGGAGAAAACCCCATCGTATTTTGTAACAAGTGAAGTACCGAGGAGAGTGCAACGCATGAATTCGGGGATGAAATTGATTCTTGTAGTAAGGGATCCAGTTACTCGAGCGATATCCGATTATACTCAAGTGAAGAGCAAACGAGCTAATATGCCGAAGTTCGAGGATCTAGCATTTTTGAATGGATCGAAGATCGTGGACACATCATGGGTACCATTGAAAATCGGAGTGTACGCACGACATTTGGAGAGATGGCTTCAATATTTTCCATTATCACAATTTCTTTTTGTATCCGGAGAAAGATTAATCATGGATCCTGTCGCCGAGATTACGAGGGTTCAGGATTTTTTAGGCCTGAAAAGAGTTATTTGTGAGAAACATTTTTATTTCAATGCCACAAAAGGATTCCCTTGTCTGCTCAAATCTGAGGAACGTCCTACACCCCATTGCCTTGGTAAGTTCAATTAAAAATTGTGGTTAACAATATGAAAAATAAATATATATGAAATATAAAGATAAGTATACTATATTTTATTGCATTTTATTTTTTTCTTTATCAATAATTTTTTTTTGATCAATGCTAAACTATAAAAAAATAAAATTTTTAAAGAATTTACAGCTTTATACGTAACAATTTATATATTATTTTAAGGTAAAAACAAAGGTCGTAGTCATCCTTATATAGATCCTGTAGCTATACAACGATTGAGAGATTTTTATCGTCCATTCAATCAACGTTTCTATCAATTAACCGGAATGGATTTCGGCTGGTTGTGAGAGTAAATGGGATAAGCGAATACATATCGAAGCTAGTCAAGTAAAAAAACATAGTCAATTTTTACTGAGATACGACACACGCGCATGTGGTGTGGCACCATTAGTTTGCACTAAGGTAATAAAATTAGACAGTAAAGAACGAGATATACTCTTCTCTTAATTAATTTTCATCCGTTTTTACTCCGACTCAAAATATTTTTTTATATAAGTATGTAAATGCGAAATGAAAAAAAAAAAGAAAAAAAAAAAATAACGCATCATTTCAATGTGTTGACAATACACAGAAGAGAATATTCCTGTTCTTATTCGTGATATTAACTTTTAGATACACGCATATTAGATTTATAGTTGCCGCAAAATGTTATCAATTACATGTATAATTTTTCGCATATACATAAACATATATACTCTACTATATTTTATACGCAATATTACAAAAAAAAAGATATATTCGAATTTTTAACGGTAAATAATCATACAAATTGTTTTTTTTTGTTATTTATTAATAGAGAATTTTTTATAGATATTTATTGTAGTTAGGTTGTTAATTCTATCTTCCAATGAAACTGTGAAAAATAGAAAATATTATTATTGAAATAGTTATGAGTATTTTTATTGTTATTAGTTGTTTAGAATTAAGAAGAATTGTTTAGCATATATATTTTATTGAATTTTTTATGTTTAATTTTTTAACATTAATATTATGTGATATTAATAATATTAAATTGAAAAATATATATTTAATTTTAATATCAAGCAAATAAAAATAAGTATTTTTTTAATAATTTATTTAAATTACATCAAAACATTCTGAAATGATAAAAAAAATTATCATATTATAGAAGTCCTCATAGTTCAGAAACAAACTGAGTACAATTTAAAGTAATAAAAAGTGATGTCTCGCATTTAATAGAGTTTTAACAAACATATTTCGGTTAAAAAAGTATACTATAGAAAATACATTAATAACGTCAATTAGACATTTATAATGGAAAAGGTTATTGAAAAAATTTATATAATCATATCAAAATAAATAATTAATTTCGATACGTGCAAGTAGATAAAAACTTGCACAAATTGCAATAAAAATAATGTATTTATATTTTGCAAACGTGCACGCACACATACACATATTATAGATACATAGTATATTGCAAAGCAGAATTTTTTACAAATTGAATTATAAAATTAATTATATTTTAATTAAATAGTAGACAAAAAAAAATAGACATAAATTATCAAAGTTTATTCCATAAAAATAAATATACTTTTAGAAATTGTCTTGTATTAGGATGTTTTAAGAATATTTTTGAATTATCATTATGTATTAATTACAAAAAAGAATTTACTATAAATTTATATTATATTATTAAATAAAAAATTTAACTTGCAGCTCAGAATAAATAATTTGTAACGAGTTTATTGTTAAATAATTTATTGTTAAGTAATTCTATATTTAATTTACTTGCTCAAGTGGCCTAATTAATCTAAACTTAAGAAATAAAGCTGTAAATAAACAATGATTTATCAAATAAACAATACTGTGTAATATGTATACTTACATCGTGCAAATATTTTTTCCTCCAAACTTCAAATCATCCTGGAAGACATTATTTCTAAAACTCTTTTTATAAATAAGAGTTTCATTGTTCATAATGAAATGGATTCCTTTATAATTCGTCTGATTTCTTCTATAACATCACAGGAAAAGATATTGTAGGTAACTAAATGACAACAAATACAAAAGTCTGTTACAAACTTTGTAATGAAATATTGCTTTCGATTCATCGAAAGAGGAAAACAACACGATGCACGTGAAAGTTTTCTTTATACAATTGTATAGAGTATTGTCTTAATACTTTCCGCAAAAGATTCATCCTCCTTTTGTACAAAGAGAAATATGTATGTTTCTGATCCGTTTCTTTATAATCTATTATATTATTAAAGAAAAAGAAAAGAGAAAATTAACAATATAAATTTCAGCCATTCGATGAAAGATAGATGATTCGTGAAGCTTTCTTTGAGCGACGCTCATCTTTTTTCTTTCGTTAATAAGAATGCTAATTAAAGTCATTAATTTCTTTGGAAATTATACATTTTTAAACCATCGGAATGGCTTTGCGTATATATATATATAAAGATATAAGTACGACATACGTTTTATTGATACTCTAATCTTATGTTAAAGATTCTTGAGCAATCTTATCGATTGATGGACGGAATAAGTACTACATACTGTCGAGAGGGACGATATTACAATAGGTCAGTATGTTCATCATACGTGATCATCGAACGATCGTTAATAATTACCGCATAATACAATTGAATTCGGGCAATAAAATACTGATTCAATATTCTATTTATGATAGAGTCTCTCTTTTTTTTTTTTTTTTTCTTTTAGAATTATTTTATATGAATATCAACAACATTATTTTTTTCCCCTTCATACTTATAACCGATTATGAATTTTTCGCGAAAAGATAAACACATATATGTATAATCCATTTTGCTTTCAATTCTTTTTTTTTCTTTTCTTTTTTTTTTTTTGGTCTAAAAAAAAAAAAAAAAGAAAAGAAAGAAAGAAAGAAAGAAAGAAAGAAAAGAAATAAGGGATCTATCTATCTATGAGAAATAAATTTTGTGGAATACTTAACGTTAAATTATCGACTACAGTGATCCTTAAATCTATAACTAATACGTCATTAATATTTCGTTATTGTTTCTAACGTATGTAATTAAGATCATGCTTAATTATGATTTCGTTCCTACGTTTCTTAATGGTGATTTCGATCATACTGAATAATTGGGAGCATTTCGTGATCGTGCAACATGAGAAACGCATCGGACAATTTAACGATCTATGTTCTTTCTCGTGGATGGTACTCTCTGGCGATGGTAAAAACATGAAATGTTTCTTTTGAAAGAATATTTCTTCGTGAGTTACTTTTTTTTTTTTTTTTTCTCTTCGACATTTTGTTTCATCGATCGAATGCAGATGCACAATCCCGGCCTGACATTTTCCACGACAAACCTAGCCTGGTTTAATCGAATCAAAAAAAAAAAAAAAAGAAAAAGATTGCTTTGTCTCGAATTCTTTTCCTCGTTTTTAAATTTTTCATAAAGAAGAAAAAAAAATCTGAACAGGCTTGATTTCCAAGTGGCTTTTTTGATCCAAGTGCATCATAACACAAAAAAAGAAAACAACGAAGACACGAAATCGGCCCGTTTTATAGTTTTAAAAAAATCATGGCTTCGCTTAGCCAGAAAACAACGCATTCAAATGGAATATCCATTTCACCGCATAATACACAATTGCTATCCATAATATATATATACAAGATAAGCGGATTCACGATCGAATCGTTCGTTATGGGAACGCATCCGATTTTTTTATCACAAAACTGGGACACAATTCCGATAAAACTTAATGGCAAGTTGCTACGAAGCGCTTCCACATAGTAGCAATGGGTAGATCTAACATCTTATATAGATACATATAATAATACAGGATTATTTCAAATTCGTTTAACGAATTATTAACCTTTTTTTTTTTTTTTTTTTTTTTGCGTGTTCATCTATTATATGTACGTTTATAGAAACATAGATTATTATTTTTTCTTAATCATTTTCATCCTTTTGTACTATTTGAAAAAGATCAAACTTATCTAATAATCTATTATCAAATATTTGAAGCCGTTCTCAATGATCATTTTACATCAATTCGATCTATTATTTTCATATTTTTCCTTTTTTTTTTTTTTTTTTTTTTTTTTTTTTTTTTTCTTTTAATCAATAAACTTACACTTAAGCGAGAAGATCAAAGATATAAACGCTATATAAAACGCATAAAAACGATTATGGCATCGGAACGCGCTTCTAGCACCGTGAAGGCAAGCAATTCGTTTTATTGTTGACAATGGAATCGTCGTATAGAATCTCTACAAAATGATATACATACTGTATAACAACACATCCACGAAGTAATACACATTTCGCGCATTTTCTTATCCCTCATCAATTTTGTACGAGTCGATTTCTTTCTTTTTTATTCTTTCACACTTTTTCGAAGGAGTGGAACCGAAGGAACGTGTTTCTAATACAATGGTCCGCGAGCTTCACTTTGTGTTTGTCTTTTTCGATGCAAGAAAAAAGAAAAAACACGTCTAGCAAGCAACGATAACGCGACGATAATGAACGAGGCGTGTTTAACATGAAATTTATAGAGAATTAATAAAAGCAATCTACTAGGGGGAGGGAGAGAAAGAAAACTCGAAAAAGCGAATATTAAAAAGCGCAATTAATAAGAGCATCTTAGGCATCTTATCATATCCTGCGATTTTTTTTTTTTTTCTTCAAGTCACGATCTCGATCTTGAGACGAACGTACACAACAATTTAATCACGTGTATCAGCAATACGAATATAATAAAACAAAGATTCGCGACCCTACTCGTATCACCGATCTTATCTCTATAATTTCTGTTCTACATTCTTCCAAAGAAAGATATTTTTATCCTCACGCTTCCTACAAACGGGTAACAATCATGGTATACTTTCCCATGGCGGGTTTTGATCACTCAGAGATGATCGATGATGTATATCCCTGTATGTGTGTATATACGTATACATTTGCCGTTGGTGCAATCATGTTCGTTACGATAGGGAAAAGCAATAAGGAAGAATAAAAGAGAAGAGTCGATCAAGCCACTGATGAGATTCCTCGTCGGTGCATGATGTTGTTTCAGAGATGAGTTATAATGATATCGTCGTCGATATCGTCCTTTTCATCGTCGGTCTCCTCCACTTGATTCGCCTCTGCTTGAGCAGCCTTTGGATCCTCGGCAATGGCCTTCAGCCTTTTCTGCTTACGCCTGTGCAACAGCTCGACTACAATGTATCCGCAGGTTCCGACGAGCAACACTGTTAGCATCACGTACAGCTTCATACGGGCGCACAGATGGGTGCTGTACGCGTATGCTATCACAAAACCGGCACTCTCCCACAGTCTGTAATTAGAGAATGCTGCTTCTTTGTTACGCCTGAACAGGGTGCCGTACAGACCTGAAAACAAGAAATTTCATTTCGAAAAATGTTTCATTCGATCTTTATTTAAATTTATACAGAGCGTAAGAAAATTGACATTTTATAAATGGGGATGGGCAGAATTCGTACGAATGACGATTGGATTGGATAGAATGGAGCGAACGATTGCTGGGAGATTGTTCGACAAATGAAACACGATTCGCAGAACGCAAGTCTAGGATGAATGACGATCGAAGAAAATTGGTAAGAAAATGCCACCATAAGTTTTGATTCCGGATATTAATTTTGATAAATCGTAAATTATTTATTTGGTTATATTTAGAGTATTTATATAAGAATAATTAACAAGTTGAAATAGAAATGTTAAATAAAAGAATTAAATTACAAAGCGTAACCGAAAAAAAAAAAAAAAACATTAAAATCTTCCGAAAGAAAGAACAAAGAAATCTGTACAACCGATGACATCATCACAGGATAAGGATGTATCGGATGGAAGCGATAAATCTGGAGAATTTTCAACGCGTGGAATTGAATTGAGCGAGACGAATCATACAGAATTTTCTATAGTAAATATCCATTAATTTGTTACAACTTACATTGAATTTACTTCGTGAACGCTACGCAGAAAGAAAATGAATAACTTAAGTTTCGTTAGATATTAATTTTTTCCTCTATTGTTTGAACAATTCCAAGTTTTTCTTTTTTTTTTTGTCAAAAGTTTATCTCCTCAGATAATCATAATCTAATTTATTTTCATTATCTGATTGATAAAAAGGGATTTTTTCCTATTAAAGAATAGATTCAATTGTGATCAGATTCGATTGAAATAGGAAAATCTAATAAACATCGAGATAAAGCCTGAAAGTTACAAATTTTATATATAAAATCGTCTGAACGCCATAATGCTCTTTTTTTCAAAACAAAGTTAAATATCTCTTCGCGAAATTTTTTTAAAACAATTTTATTTCCACAATTCCGTGTAATCGCTACGTGTAATCACGCTTAATCATATCGATTGAAAATATTTTTAGATATATTTTTACAACTTATGTACAAGATAAACAACGTAAAAAAAGAATATCCTCTTTAATAATTCATGTCAAGGTATATTTTATCTAAGACATAAAGTTACATTACACATGATACACTATTTCACACTAATTATAAGTAATATATAGCTGCACTATTATCCCGATTAGAAATAAATAACCGTAATTTTTGTTGATATGTAAAACCGTGTCAATGTTATTCAAAGATATCAAGAAGTTGATAAAAAAAAGTATTAAAATTAATTTTAACTTGAAATTATTTCTTTTCTCGAATAAAAAAAAAATATATAAAAACTTATATAACATTAATTTGCAATACGTACCGTTCACCTGCGTTTGCCATACGGCATCACCGACGCCCCAAAGCCCAGAAACAGAGTAAAAAACGTAAGGGTTATCGGGGTTCGGTTTCCAGTGGAGTAGCACGACGATAAGACTAACATGGACGATGGCGCCCAGCACCATAAGTGGCTGCCTGCCGACGAATTTCATTAAAGATCCAAAGACCAGGGAGCAAATAGCGTTCACAACTCCAAAGCAGATCATTACGTAGCCGACACGATGCACGCCCAACGCGCAGGAAATATACGCCTGAAAAAGGAAAGTATCACGATAAAATGTCGCAACGATTTGCGAGGACGAGAATAAATGTTCTCTTTATGGATACAACATCCGTCGCGGACGGGAAATTTTCTGTCATAAATTTATCAATATATTCCGACGATAAATTTCGATCAGTGAAAAATTGAATATAATAGGCAAATATTTTTAACAGGCTCGAAACATTAGCGCGAAATCGTTCCTTTTGAAATAATGGAAGGGAAAAAATTCATCGATAGAGCGAGGATGCGCTTTCATTTAGCCGCGTGATAGCTGCACAGGCCAGCCAGGCTATCCACCGTCGATGCACCCGTAGAACGAGAGAGAGAAGAAAAAAAAAAAAAAGAAGAAATACTGGTTCACGAGATTCCCGGTATGGAAGTGGTATCGGGGAATTGCCGCAAGAATAAAATTCTGGGCTATTTATAACATGTCGAACCAGCTGATCCAATGAAAGGTAGCGCGCGTCCCGTCAGGTATCCTGATATTTTCCAGTAGCGTTTTATTCGTCGAATCACTTTATTCCTTGCCCAATTTGCCCGCATATTTCATCACCGAACTGGTTTCGGACAAGTTTGCCTTCTCCAAACTGTATCATCTATATTTTCTTCTTCTTCTTCTTCTTCTTCTTCTTCATTCCCTCCTCTTTGCGAATATATAACAACGATCAAAGAAGGTACAAGAGAAGGGGCAGTTGCTCATCTTCGATGGGGTGTAATTTGATTGAAAAATGAAGAGATATTCGTGATTTTTATTCTGTGTAATTATTATAGCTGATGGGTTATTTGGTGTGGTTAATCTATTGATTTTTATCCATTTATCGAAAATTAACCGTATTTTACATATGGTGTAACCCATACTTTGGATTGATTTTTGGTTTAATTTTTTTAATTACGGACAAAGATTCATATTCTTCTTACTTTAATTCGTGATCCATATTCTTTTATAAAATTCAAATGCGTTGTCGAAACTGGAAATCGATCGACAGATCAACACGTCACGTAGTTTTTAAACGTTCTCCGACCGGTACAGGGGATCGTATATATTATACAACTTATAATTTGAAGTCATTCAGCGCTTTAAAGCCAAAGGAGCTGCGTGCTTCAGCCGATATTTCAGCGTATCTGTGATCAGTAGTATGTATTTCCGGAGAACAATTGCACGACCTCGTATGGCCGTTACGCATCACGAATCTGCCGTTCTGTATCCGGTTTGTATCCGGGTGATCCTAGCCGAGTTTTTGTTGTTGAATCTGATGAGAATAATCATTAACGATTTTAACGTCTATTTTTGTTACTGCGTCTTTTTTTTTTCTTTTCAATGTACCGCGGGAATTTTCACGATTTAATTTATCGATTTAACGAGGAAAATTATAATAAGGAGAATTATATAATTATAAATAATTATTAAATGTTTTCGTGGAAGAATAGATATATTTTTATTGTAAGCCAGGATTACGAGATTTAAGACGGTTATTTTTTTGTTAACAAAAGTAACGTTATATTGCGTAAAATATGCAATATTGTACGATGGAATCTAGAGAAAGTCAGAAATTTTTATGAATTCGTTCGTGTTATGGAGTTCAGATCAGTGCTATTTCTGACTGAATCGAACTTGTTTCTGCCTTCCTTTCAAACATAATTTTCTTGTCCTTTATTAAAAAAAAAAAATCTCATAGTCCAGTAATCTAATAATGTATTCAGCAAGTAAATTTAAACTTTTTCAGAAAATGTATCATGTGTCATCTTATTTAACCCAATATTTATCCTTAATTAGATAAATAAACGAATAATAAATATGTTTACTTTTTTCATCATTATTATGAACTTATATTTGGTGTATTAGTTAATCGAATCTGTGTTTTAACTTCTGAAGCAAGGAACGCGAGAATTCTTGGATAATCGATGGATAATATTGCATCGCCATTATCGTGATCAATATTATTATACTTTTAAATCGTCGATCATGAGACCGTCGTCGTTCATTCTTAGTCTGTTCCTTCGAAGAGATTCATCCTCGAATGCATAATCGGCTATTCGTAATCGATGGCCTTATCGAAATGAAGTTTCCACTGACAACAGGCTCGTTCATTTTCTACCGAGCGTGGGCGAGTTGTTGCTCGATTGTTCTGCCTCGTGACTCGTAAATAATTGCCTCCAGTTGTTAAGCAACCGGCAAACGATATATCGTCGAAAACTGTTGGAAGCTTGATTAATGAATTTCTGGTCAAAAAAAAAGTTTAATTTTTGGGTTATTAAACCCCTTTATTATTAAACTCTCTCGCCAACCCTCTGTAATTCCATGTATAATTTGAAAGTTACGCTTGTAATACAACTTGTTAACATTTTTAAATCTTATTTTAATTGCTTGCCATTGTTAGCAAAGATATTGTTACTGATGGTAAGATAAAAGAATCCTAAGGGATTATCCTTTTGGGATTGTACGGAATTAAAATTTGTTCCTACATCTACTCCTTTGCTGTTCTATCCTTATATACAGGCCATTATGTTTTCGACCTTTATTATTCAATTTTTAATTTCAATTGATGATTATATGGTAATAAAATTGTAAATTTGGAACATAATTCGATGATAATGATCAAATAACGATGATACAAATGGATTTGAAAATCTTTCGAATGAACTTGGTAATAAATTTCTAATTTCATAGTGAATTCTAAGTGTAATAGTTTTTACTAAATATTTACTATCTACTCGCTACCTTAATTTACCTACGTAAATTATTGACACAAATGTTAATCGATGTGTGTACACTAATTGTTATTCACTAATTTTTTTCAATATCAATACATATTTCACCGATCGAAGAAGAAAAAAAATATGAAATTTTCAAATATACTATTCGATTTTTTAAATATATTACGCGATAAATTAGCATTTCATAGGATTTCTCGGGCGCTCACTTAATTACTCACTTGTGTAAAGTCTGCTCCGATGAACGCCTGCTCCATACCGATCCATATTGTGATCGGTATGAGGAGTTGCTGATAGGGTTTCTTCAGTTGATAAGCAGTTGCAGAAAGCAATTGTATACCACTGAGCTCTTGACTGTCGACTTTTCGTTGCTTCTCGCCGTACCTGAAAAAAAAAAGGAAATTAGCGCAAAATTTGTAAACAAAAAAAAAAAAAAATGATTCTACATCGTAAGAGCGTTATTATATTTTTACTCTCTAGATATAATTTAATTCTTTTTTCTATTAAAAGAAAATCATTTTTCTTTTTCATTATAATCGTTTGCCAATTCGATTCGATTAATTAATTAATTATTTTTCTTGTCAAGAAAGTGTTATCAAATAACACTATGCTAATAAAAATGGAACGGAATAAATATCGTGTATGTCGCGAAAGCTTTAATTCCGATCTGTTTAATTATAATTATTTACAACAGAAAATACGGGGGAACGAAGAAAATGTGTAAATACAAAGTTGATGTGCGAATTATTTCGTAGAAAACGATCGGCTGTAAATTGTATAGTTTTACCATAATTGTAGCCTTAAATGCGGAGATAATTACTGAAATGTTTCTGCAATATCACGTCACGAATCTGTACCGTAACGTCGTTGTTTCGTTGTTTAATTTTTGAGAGGCTTTAATCCAGGAAATTGATGCAAGTAAATGGTATCTCTAAATTATGTTTAAGCTAGCCGACTATTACACGGCAAACACTTTATCTAGTCACTTTATCTTCGCCATCCCGTCGCGTCTTCGAATATTTTATAATATTTTTTTCGAATAATTTATTTCATATCTTGTATAAAATTAAATAAAAATTGGGTAAAATTATAAAAATAATCGCAGAATATTTTTTTTATATATTCTTACTGGTATGATCATTCATCACCATCGTTGTATTAAATATCAAACGAGTATAATATAATTGATATTTTTAATATCGATTTCGATCCTGATATAAACAGTACATATATTTCATTGATATTGATCATAAATCACAGATTTTTGAATACCAAGATAATCAAACTCAGATTTTAATTTTATAGAAAATATTTTTATTATTAAAAAAAAGGACATTTTGATTCTTTTTGAAACTCTCTCTCTCTCTCTGTNTCTCTCTCTCTCTCT